GTTTCTCTTTCATCCTATTCACATGGTCTTTCACAAAAGTTTATTTTTGTTTTTTTAATTTTGGTAGTAATCAATTTATGAATTTTCCTTTTATGGATCGTGCTGTGTCAGGTCTAAGAACTCTTTGCCTAACCCTAGATCCTCAAGATTTTTTCTTATGTTTTTTACTAAAAGTTTTATAGGATTCTGCCCTGCAAGGATAAAGAGACTTTTGGAGTTAGTTTTCTTTTTGTGGCAGAATCCCCTTTGCTGGTGAAGATACAAAGAAACATTCCTGGTAGGAATGTAAAATAGTACAGTCACTCTGGAAAACAGTTTGGCAGTTTTTATAATTACATAGGAGTGATTGAGCTGATGAGAAAAATCTTATTATGGTTATTTATTTGGAATTATAGTTAATGTTATTTTATTGTTCTATATCAGAGGACACAAACTTTCTCTGTAAAGGACCGAGTATTAAATACTTTAAGCTTTTTAGGCTACATACACTCTCTGTCACATGGTTTTCTTTTCTTTCTTTTTTTATCAACCATTTAAATGTGTAAAAAACCATTCTTAGCTCAGGGGCTATACAAAAACCAGGCCACAGGCTGGATTTGGCCCATGGAACACAGTTGGCTAACCCCTGTTCTACACTCCAGATATATAAGAAATTCTCTCTCTTTCTTGTTAAACTATCTAGAACGCATAACGATTTAGTAGACTCTGCTTTTGCAAACTGAAATGAAACATTTTTCAATGATATCTAATTTTCACTGACTCCCCAGAATTCAGACACTCTTACTAAGTCTCCACACTTTTCATGGCAATATATTTATTTGTATAGATTCGGTAAAATACTATATTATTTTTTACTAGGATATATTTGGAGAAATAAAGTATGCAACTAAGGTCTTGCCTAGAATGTCATATTTGAAAATGGTGCTCATTTTATCACGTATGACAATCCACTTTTAAGAAACTAAGGTTGACTTCAATCATGGAGTCAAAGCCTACACAGCTCTCTATGAAAACTGACTTGGTACCAGACTTACTGGTTCTTTCATTAATTGGTAATTTAAATAAAATCTTCAACACCTGCTCATTTTGTATTTATATAGGAGTCATGATTACGTCCTTTTAAATTTTGTCCTTTAATAGATCTTAATCCATTACACGCTTATAACAGTAAGTTCTGTGGTTTATTGACCCCTCCTAAATAGAAATAATCAGGCCAGATCACTGTCCTGAACTTCAGACACATATAGGCAGGGATTTATATCTGTCTTGTTCCCACTGTACCATTAGTACTCAGAACAGTGCCTGGCATATAATATGCACCCAAATTTTTTTACTGAATGAAGATATGAATAGCCAACTAGACAGTAGGTCATAGCACAGACTAGCTAGCTATTCAGGAATCTCATTTCCCATTCCTCCTAGGCGCATAGATAGACTACATTTTCCAGCCTTCCCTGAAATTAAATGGGGCAATGAGTTCAAGTTCTGGCCAAAAGAATATGGGTACGATTGATGGAGGCCAGTTCCTATAACCCCCAATCCTCCTCCCCACTCCCACTCCCCCAATTTCCCAACTCCAATCCTCAGTCAAGATAACTTAAGGCCCTCGCTTCTCTCTGATCCTGTAAAACTTTGTGTACGACTCTATTACTATACTGTTATACATTAAATGTCCTCACTCCTGTTCAAATCTGAACTTCATCAAGTAAGAAGATGAGTTTTATTATATTTCTATAGCCTTTAAAATCATCCCTGGCACCTAATTAGAAATTCAATAGATGCATGCTGCAGTGATTCTAGAATGAAATTGTATCCCAAAATATACAGATTCCTGGAGTCCACTTCAGATCTATCTCTATCAGCATCTGTAGGAGGTAGATACTGGGATTGTATAATATTTTTTAAACTCCCCAGATAGTTGTGGTCATCCATTAGGTTTGAGAACCACTGGCTTATAACCAACTGAGAGTATTAATTAGAGCGGTTGTTCTTAAATAGCCAAGTTGTATACTCTATTAAGAATCAGAAGACAGATAAGGAACCTCTCTAGAAAAACACACATGTGCACTTATATCTATTTTTTTGCATATGATTTCAGGAGGTTCACAAAACTCCTGAAGCTTCTCCATGGACTCTAGCTTAAGAACCTCTGAGCTAGTAGCTCAGAACGAAGTTCAATATTTATACCAATGTAAAAGAATGTGTAATGCACCAAGACTCTTTCTTGTTTATATAAAGTGACCAAGAATATCTGTTCTGTTTGATTTTGCAGGATTGTTCTGGGAGAAGAACTTACATACTGTGCTCTGCTCCTTTTCAAACTCCTCAAAGTTCTCCAAGAGGCATTTTGAATTTCTTTGCAGGAATCAAAGTTCGAAGTCAGTGATAACAAAACATGGATTTCCTGGTGCTATTCCGTTTTTTTTTTTTAATTTGGGGACAATTGACATTTTTTTATATTGATTCTTCATACCTATTAATATAATGTATTTATTATATATTTTCTAAATGTTTTTCTTTTTTTTTTTTAAGATTTTATTTATTTATTTATTTTCCCCCCAAAGCCCTAGTAGATAGTCGTATGTCATAGCTGCACATCCTTCTAGTTGCTGTATGTGGGACGTGGCCTCAGCATGGCCGGAGAAGCGGTGTGTCGGTGCGCGCCCGGGATCCAAACCTGGGCCGCCAGCAGCAGAGTGCGCGCACTTAACTGCTAAGCCACGGGGCCGGCCCCTCTAAATATTTTTCAATTCATTATATTATCTTCACATAAATCTTGTGCAGTTTTTTTTTTTTAGCTTTTTTCTTAGGTAACAGAATTTCTGTTGTAAATGATATATATTTTAATAGCTTTACTGACATATAATTCACACACTATTCAATTCAACCATTTAGTGTACAGTTAACTAGTTTTTAGTATATTCAGAGTCGAGCTTCCATCACCACAGTATAATTCAAAACATTTTCATTATTCCAAAAAGAAACCCTGAACCCCTTAGTCATCACTCTCCAACCCCCTCATCCCTCCCAACCCTAAGAAACCACTAATCCACTTTCTGTCTCTATGAATTTGTCTATTCTGGACATCTATATAAATGGAAACATATGATATGTCATTCCTTTGTGACTGGCTTTTTTCATTTAGCATATTTTCAAGGTTCATCCATGTGGTACCATGTATCAGTACTTTATTTATTTTTATTTGCCAATTAATATTCCATTGTATGAATACACCACCTTTTATAATCTGTTCATCAGTTTATTTATCCATTCATTATTTGGCTTGTTTGTACTTTTTAGATATTATGAATAGTGCTGCTATGATCATTCATGTACAAGTTTTTATGTGGACATTTGTTTTCATTTTTCTTGAGTATATACCTAGGAGTAGAATTGCTGGATCATATGGTAACTCTATGTTTAACCATTTGAGAAACTGCCAGGCTGTTTTCCAAAGTGGCTGAACCATTTTACATTCCCACCAGCAATGTATGAGGGTTCCAATTTTTTCCACATCCTTGCCAACATTTATTATTATCTGACTTTATGATGATAGCCATCCTAGTGTGTGTGAATTGGCATCTCACTGTGGTTTTGATTTGCATTTCCCTGTTGTCCAATGATGTTGAGCATCTTCTCACATGCTTATTAGCCATTTGTGTATCTTCTCTGGAGACCCGTCCAATCTGATCCTGTTCCCATTTTTAATTGTATTTATTGAATTGTAATAGTTCTTTACTCTAGAAACAAGGCCCTTATCAGATAAATAATTTGCAAAAATTTTCTTGCATTCTGCGGGTTATCTTTTTACTTTCTTGATCATGGATATAGTTTTTTATGGTTGTATTTTCTAACCATTGGCTGCTGAGGTATAGAAAAGCAATTTATTTTTTATATAGATCTTTAACTAGCCTCTAACTAGATTCTTTGGGGTTTTCTATGTAAATAACCATATCATCTATAAATAACGATGTTTTATGTCTTCCATTTCAAATCTTATACTTTTGTTTTCATTATATTGTCTTACTTCACTAGCTTAGACCTCCAAAACAATGTCAAATAAAACAGCAATAATGAACATCCTTGTCTTATTCCTAATTTTAAAGAGAATGCTTCTAACAATTCCCTGTGGAAAATCATATTTGCTATTGGTAGCTATTCTTTATAAGATTAAGGCAATTCTCTTATATTTCTATTTATGAGGTTTTATCTACAATGAGTGTTGAACTTTACCAAATGCTTTTTCTGTATCTGTTGAGATGATCACACATTTTTTTTCTTTTAATCTACTGAAGTGATAACCTTCGTATAACTTGGATTCCTGAAATAGACCCAATTTTGAAAATTCATTAGTTTTTTTTTCTTTTTTTTAAATAAGCTTCTAGATTCAGTTAATATTTGTTAAGAAGTGTGTGTGTGTGTGTGTGTGGCGAAAACTTTTAAGATCCGCTTGCTTTCTCTTAGCAACTTTCAAATATACAATATAGTATTGTTAACTATGGTCACACGTTGTACATAACATCCCCAGAACTACTTAGTCATCTTATAACAGGAAGTTTGTACCCTTTGATCACCTTCACTCATTTTCTCAACCACATCCCTGCCCCAGGCAGCCACCACAACCAACAGTTTAGTTTATTTAGGTTCCACGTAAAAGTGAGATGATACACAGGGCCGGCCCCGTGGCATAGTGGTTAAGTGCATGCACTCCAGCTTTGGTGGCCCAGGGGTTCGCAGGTTCGGATCCTGGGTGTGTGCCAACACACTGCTTGTCAAGCTATGCTGTGGTGGCATCCCTATAAAGTAGAGGAAGATGGGCACAGATGTTAGCCCAGGGCCAATCTTCCTCGGCAAAAAGAGGAGGACTGGCATCGGATGTTAGCTCAGGGCTGATCTTCCTCACACACACAAAAAAAGTGAGATGATACAGTATTTGTTTTTTTCTGGCAGAATAGCATTCATATATATATATATATATATATGTCAACATTACCCTGATAACAATGCCAGATAAGGACACTACAAGAAAAAAAAACTATAGGCCAATATGCCTGATGAATATAGAGGCAAAAATGTTGAAAAACTACTAGCAAACAAAGTTCAACAGGACATTAAAAGGATCATACAATGAGATTGAGTGGGATTCATCCTAGCTATTATTTTATTGCTATTTATTTCTCCTTTTAGTTCTGTTAGATCTGCTTTATATATTTAGGTGCTTTGATGTTAGGTGCATAAATATTCACAATTGTTATATCTTTTTGATGCATTGACTTATTTATCATTATATAATGTTATTTGTCGCTTTTGACCATTTTTAGCTTAAAGTCTATTTTGTCTGCTATAACTATCCTTACTCTCTTTTGTTTACCATTTGTTCAAATATCTTTTTTCATCCCTTCACTCTAAGTCTATGTGTGTCCTTAAAGCTATAGTGATTCTCTTGTAAACAGCATAATATCAGAACTAGTTTTTTATCCATTCAACCATTCTATGTCTTTTGATTGGCACATCTAATCCATTTATGTTTAAAGTAATTATTGATAGGTAATGACTTACTATTGCCATTTTGATAATTGTCTTCTGACTGTTTTGTAGATCCTTTGTTCCTTGATTCCTCTCTTACTGTCTTCCTTTGTGATTTGATGACTTTCTGTAGTAGTATGCTTTGACTCATTTATCATAATCTTTAATGTATCTACTACAGCTTTTTCCTTTTTTGGCTACCATGAGGCTTGCATGAAATATATTTATAACATCCTATTTTAAGCTGATAGCATCTTAAGTTTGGTAGCATAAGAAATTATACTTTTACTTATCATCCCTCATGTTTTAGGTTATTGATATTATTATTTACATCCTTTCTGTATTGTGTATCCAATAGCAAATTGTTGTACTTATGGTGACTGTTAATACATTTGTTTTTTACTTTTACACTAGGGCTGTAAGTGAAGTATGCACTACTGTTACAATATTAGAGAATCTGATTTTGACTATTTATTTACCATTACTAATGCATTTTACACATCATATGCTTTTATGATGTTAATTACCATCCTTTTATTTCTGCTTGAAGAGCACCCTTTAACATTTCTTATAAGGCAGGTCTAGTGGTGATGAACTCCCTCAGCTTTTGTTTGTTCAGGAAAGTCTTTATCTCTCCTTCATTTCTGAAAGACAGCTTTGCCAGATATACTATTTTTGGTTGACAGGTTTTTTCTTCTAATGTTTTGAATAGATCATCCCATTCTCTCCTGGCCTGCAATGTTTCTGTTGGGAAATCCTGCTTATGGTCTTATGGGGGTTGCCCTATATGTAACAAGTCACTTTTGTCTTGCTGCTTTCAAATTTTTCTCTTTGTCTTTGACTTTCAACAATTTAATTATAATGTATCTTAGTGTAGCCCTTTTTGAGTTTGATTTATCTGGGGTCCTTTGGGCCTCATGAATATGGGCATCCGTTTCCCTTACCATATTTGGGAAATTTTCAGCAATTATTTCTTTAAATAGACTTTCTGTCTGTTTCTTTCTTCTTTTTTTGTTTTCTTCTCCTTCTAGTATTCTCATATGTATATGTTTTTTCTCTTAATGGTGTCCCATAAGACCCATAGGCTTTCCTCAGTCTTTCTCATTCTTTTTTCGTTTTGCTCCTCTGACTGGATAATTTCAAATGCCCTATCTTTCAGTTCATCAATTTTTTCTTCTGTTTGGTTGAGTTTGCTATTCAAACTCTCTATTGAATTATTCAGTTCAATCATTGTATTCTTCAACTCCAGGATATCTGTTTGGTTTTTTTTTTTTTTTTTATGGTTTCTATTTCTTTGTCGAACCCATTTGGTTCATGCGTTGTTTTCCTAACTTGTTTTAGTTGTCTGTCTGTGTGTTTTTGTAGTTCACTTACATTCTTAAGAGGATTATTCTGAGTTCTTTTTCAGATAGTTCATAGATCTACATTTTTTTAGGTTCAGTTATTGGAGCTTTACTAGTTTCTTTATTGGTATCATGTTTACCTGATTCTTTGTGATCTTTGATTCCTTGTGTTTATATCTGCATATTTGAGTAAATAATCTCCTCTTTCCGACTTTACCGGTTCACTTTGGTGGGGAAAGACCTTCTTTATTCATCCTAGCTTGGGATACTGGATGGGTCAGCTGGTAGCATCTATGGGCAGGCAGGGTTTGCTATCAAGGTCTCTAGTTGTGCAAGGCCACTGCCCATATTCTGAGGTCAAAGAGTGTGCTCCTGGCTGGTTGGGTGGGCCTGCTGTCTGGGCTCTGCATTCAAGTGGGGCTGCTTACTAAGCTACCTGATTGGGCAAGGCTGCTGGCTATGCTGCATGTCAGGTGGTGCCAATAATTGAGGTCTACAACCCCCTTTGGTCAGGCAAGCTTGCAGGCTATGTTCCCTGGCCAGGTGGTGTTGCAGGTTGGACTTCACAAATGAGCAGGTCTATAATCTGGGCTCTGCAATTACTCCTCATTGGGTGGAGTCTCAGGCTGTGCTCCCTGACATGATGGTGATGCTGCCTGCAATCCCTTTTGAGGCAGGGCTGCAGGCAGGACTTCACAGTTGGACAAGTCCTCAGGCTGTGCTCTGCAATCAGGTGAGCTGCAGGCTATACCACAATGTTGGGTAGGGCTGCAGGCTGGACTTTGTAATCAGGTAGACTTCCGGCTGTGCTCTGCTGTTAGTCAAGGTCACTAGCCAGGCTCTCTACTTGGGAGGAGCCTCCAGCTGTGTCCTGCACTTGGCTGGGACTAGAGACTGTGCTCTATGGTTGGGCAGGGTGGCTGCCCAGGCTTCTGCATCAGGTAGGGCTACAGGTAATGCTCTATCACTGGCTGGGCTTCCTTCCTGGGTGAGGTCACAGGCTGTTTTCAGCAATAGAACAAGGCCATGGGCTGAGTTCTGCTGTGGGGTGGTGCTATAGGCTGAGCTCTGCAGCTGGATTCTACTGATGGCTGGGTTCCAAGGCTGCCCAGGTTCATTTTTCAGGATCCCTGCTTTTGGGAGCCAGAGGCTATACTTAACAGTTGGACAGGGCTGCTGGCTTGGCTCCTTGCCCAAACATGGCTGTAGGATAGACTCCACAGCTACCCAAGATCTCTGGCCAGGCATCCTGGTCAGGCAGGACTGGCGGCTATATTCAGTAGTGGGGTGGGGCTTTGAATTTGCTTCCCTGCATGGGAGGAACTATAAAATGGGCTCCATAGGTGTTACAACTCATTGGCTGGGGACCCATGTCAGGCAGAACTGCCAACCGAGCTCTCTGGTGAGACAGGGTTATCAGCTCAGCAATGCTGATGGGCAGAACCACTGGATGGGATCTCTGCTCAGGCACCACTGCAAGCAGGAATGTGGTCTACCAAGTGCTTAGCACTGTTTGCTGCAAGCCAACCTCTTTCTCTGTCTTTACCTGATCCTCAGTGGTCAAGCCCTGCAAATTCCCCAAGTGATCCCCATGGAGCAAGATCTGAGCCAGGTTTCTGGGAAGCATTCCACAACACTGAGCTGGACATCCATCTTGGGATCTCTTTTTTCCCACTGGAGGAACTGTAGGACCAGGAGGGCCCTCCAGAGTGGCACTGTTCAGGCCTAAAGGAGGGGCAATATGGTCAGAGTGTAGCCTCTCCTCCTACCCTTCAAATGCAGTCTTTCTCAGTCTGTTATCCAGGGAATTGTTTCAGACTAACCCCCAGGTTCTGGGATTTTCACAATGGTGTCTTTTCTATGGGGAGACTGAAGTTGAGAACAACTTATGTCACTATCTTGATGATGCCACTCTAGTAGTGCTATCCTTTTTTGACAGTAGATCTACATTTATTTTCATTGCACTTAAGCAATTTGTTGACAAAAATTTTCCCAAGCTGTCACAATTATTTCCCAGGAACCTCAAATAAATGACTAGGCTAAAGGAATGATGCACACTGTTAAAGATATCCTGAAGTAGACTATTGAAGGAGATTGGCTAATAAGACTTGTCAAGCTTCTCATTGCCCAAGGTGTTATTTCAATATCAATTACAGAAGTGAATTCTGTTGACTTATGAATGGAAACACAATTCAAGATTTCGACTTCATAAAATTTTAGAGCTGAGTGAAACGTCATTCACCTTGTCTGTCTCCATAAATAACGTAAAAAGCTAACCTCGAAACTTTCTGATTGCAGCCATGTGTGTCTCTTCAATTTTTTTAAATGGGAAAGCTTTTGTAGGAACTATGAATATTGGATGCATAAGGTAAAGGACTGGAATTAAAGTCGTGGGTACTGTGTCATAGAATATGCAGGATATATAAATACCATGTTGGTCAGCTGAAAATGTTTCCTTTCCCAGGTAATTTGATGAGAGCAAAACCATTAAAACTTCTATTGCTATCTGACTGACTTTCCATGTTCATAGAATACACTAGGGCATTGTTAGTGTAAGTTATTTTGTTATAATTTATTGATTATCTACTATGTCACATTCATTGTGCAAAGAACTTCACATATGTTACATCATTTCTCACAAAAATTTTTCAAGGAAAGTTTTATTATTATTTGAAAAACTTATGAGAGTGAGGCTCAAATAGACTATGTTATTTGCCCAAGGTAAAACAGTTAATAAATGGTTGAGTTAGGATTTGAACCTAAGATTTTCTTATTTCCCCTAAGCCCATCCTTTTTCTACCTATTTCCATGTGGTGAAAATACTCAATATATTCTCAGGTCACAGCCACTAGCAGAGTATCCTATGTATATAAATTCACTAATATAACTCAAAGGAACTTTGTAAATCTGCCTTTCTTGTTTATAAGATTTTATTAGCTTTAGAGAAGGGATAGGTATTATATCTGATAAGGAGTGGTACTCATAAATGCTAATGTGTTGATCCTTTTAGAGTTATTTTTGTGGCACTGTACAGTGATATTTTTAGTGTAAGATTAATCCAGTATAGTTCTTACTGAATTGTGTAACATTGAGCAAATCATTTTATATCTCTGGGCCTTGGTTTTCTCAATCTAAAATGGGGATAATAACGGAACCTATTATTAAATGGGATAACACATGTAACTTGCTCAAGACAGTAATTGAAACATAGTCAACATGCAAAAAATATGAGTTACTAGTTATTATAGAAACTGCTCACTCTTTGCCTTAAAATTTTCTGATTAGTGTTTTTATTTAAGTTTTACTTACTTATAATTATACAAAACCAAAAACATAGCACTCCTTCTCCTCCCCTCAAAATAGAAGGCATTAACCTGGAAATGAGGGGGTGCAGAGGAGAAAAATTATACTAGTGAATAAGGTTGTATATGTAAGTTTGAAAAAAATTACTCATGAATATGTGTGCTAAATTTATGAGTTTAGAATTTGCCACACGTAATGAGCACCAGTAAAGGTTATTGACCAAAGGAGTGATAGATGATGAATATGCTGTTTAGGGAAGTTCAGTCTAGTGGTGGTATGCTGAGTGAATTAGTACCAGTAAAGATCAATATATAGATTTATTTATTAATTAATTAATTTTAATTTTAATTGATTAATATTAAAGAAATATTAATATAAAGATTAAAGCTTACACAGCTACACTATAGCCCTAGTATTTTTAGCATATATTCAAGAGGAGAAAAAAAATCAGAAGGCAAGGTAAAAACAAAACAAATATCATATGTTAAAAAAATTTTCCCACAATATTTCTTCAACTTTTAGCTAATATCCTTATAGATTTTAGCCACTATCAGAATTACTATAGGGATAGGAGGAATGTTTAATTTCATGTAGCCCAATAGGAGTTATATATGCTGAATTAACACAAGCTTCATTAAAGATGTAGAAATATGATTAAAATAATAGATACTCCAGAAGTTACCTCTAATATGCAGACTAATCATTGAAGATGTGTAACAAATGTCAGAAGAGTATTTTAAATATTCCATTTTCCTTTCTTGTGGGATTTTGAAATAAAAAGGCAAACTATAAAGAGCAAAGGTCTAGCTGTTTTTTATAACTTTAAAATGTTGCTGTCAGATACTCTTTCCTAAAAAGACTGTCTTCCCAAATAAAAAGGTGAAGAATTCAATTTATAAAACTTTATATGAAATCAAAGCTTTACCTTGGAGTTTTAAACACATATCTATTGAGGCAACAGCACATTTGTCATTTTATTTTAGGAAGACATTCAGAGAACATTCTTGGCTTTGAAATGATATGGAAATTGAAAATGACTGTAAAGCAGAACCCATTGTTTACTGAGAAAAGTACTCAGACGAGTAAGTCTAATTCAGACCCTAATATTTTCCTGGGAATAGTAAAAGACTCGTGCTTCTGAACAAGATTTTTCTTTAAATGTACTGCATAAAGGGTTTTGTTAAATCACTAGTGAAAGAATGTATTTGACCCAAGTTTTTCTTAGTGGATAGCAAAGGACCACCTCATGATTCTCAATTAATTAGTGCTTAATGCACCTGGCATATAAAAAGAGAAAGCAACATGTTTCTGGGATAGGTGATAGGTGAAAAAAAAAAAAGAATACCATTATTAAAAATAGCTGTAGGGCCGGCCTGGTGGCATAGTGGTTAAGTTCACGTGCTCCGCTTCTGCAGCCTGGAGTTCAGAGGTTTGGATCCCAGGCGCGGACTGATGCACCACCTATCAAGCCATGCTGTGGCAGGAGTCCCATATAAAGTAGAGGAAGATGGGCACGGATGTTGGCCCAGTGCCAATCCTCCGAGGATTGGCAACAGATGTTAGCTCAGGGCTAATCTTCCTCACCAAAAAAAAAAAAAAAACATAGCAGTAACCTTTCAATTAAATAAAGCATAAAGTGTACAAATATGTACAAACAGTGAAATAGTTAATTATTTAAATAATGCTTTAATAGGAAATAGGTCTGGAATATGTTTCAGAGGTGCAATTAAATGATCCTAAAACAAAAGAAGTATTGTTTACATAAGCTTACAGATATACTTTACTAGCAAAATGCTATAAGTTATAAATCCTATAAGTAATTAACTCTTTGTACCACATGGTCACTTTTTTCAATCATTGGATTATGTGTCCAAATTGGACTTTTCATTTCATTTCAATCCTTATTTTAATTGATGTTGGCATTCTTCGAGTACAATTTGTTTGGTTTGTTGATAATGATAAAGTTATTCATTTGTATCCTACATAAATACATTCTCATTGTGCTCAATGGCAGGTTGCATTGTCTCTGGAGGGGTCTTTACCTCCCAGGTAGACAAGGCATCTTCCCACATCCCCCTCCACTGGCCAAATGGCCCCTTCTCTGTTAGAGGCTTTGAAGTGATGAGTGACTGAAGTGGAATTTACTTACTGAAATTTTAAAAAGACAAAACAGCTATTTGAGGGAAGATTTTTTTAATTTTGGAAAATAAGTAAAGACTACAAGGAATAAATGTTGTCACTTACCTGGAAAGCAATTCAAGAAAGTTCAAAAGAGCTAAATTTCCATTTTGTTCCACCTCTGTCATAACTTTCTCTAACATGATGACAGCTTTTCCAATGTTATTGATTAGAAAAAGCACATTTCAGAAGTGTCTCCCAGATTTCATGTGCTCTTTACGTTGTGCTTTACTCAGATACCAAACACCTGTTTGAGAAAGGGCTTAGAGCATGACAGCTCTGAAAGGCTATCTGGGTAGCCTTCATAGCATGCCAAAAGCATGCCTGTCAATAGAAATCCCTGACACTAAGTTGTGTAGCGGTGACAACTTGTATATTCAATCAAATCCCAGTTCATTATTTCTGGTACAAAGAAAATCTGCATTGTCAACATCCACAATGAACCTCCCACAGAGCTTCACTCAGAGAAGGCTTCAAGTACAGTATAATATTGGCAAAAGACTAAATGAACATATCAAACAGACACCAGTGAAAGACCCCCTGTGATTGATTAAGAGAAGGACTTCAAATGGTGCCTTATTTTTTTAATTGTGCTTAAATACTCATGAAATAGAATTTACCATCTTAACAATTTTTAAGTGTATAGATCAATGGTATTAAGTACATTTACATTATTGTGCAACCATCACCACCAGCCATCTCCAGTCTTTTCATCTTGCAAAACTGAAACTCTACCATTAAACAAAAACTCTCCATTTCCTCCTCCCCCCAGCCCCTGGCAACCAACATTCTACTTTCTGTCTCTATGAATTTGTCTATTCTAAGGTACCTCATACAAGTACCTTCCATGTAGGTGGAATCCCATATATTTGTCTTTTTGTGACTGGTTTATTTCACTTAGCATAATATTCTCGAGGTTAATACGTACTGTCACATATTGCAGGATTTCCTTCTTTTATCCATGCCTCTATTGATGGATACTTGGGTTGCTTCCACCTTTTGGCTATTGTGAAAAATGCTGCTATGAACATTGGGGTGCAAATATCTCTTTAAGACCTGGCTTTCAATTCTTTTTGATATGATCATATGGTAATTCTTTTCATTTTTTGAGGAATCTCCATACTGTTTTCCATAGCAACTGCACCATTTTGCATTTCCACCAACACTGCACAAGGGTCCCAATTTCTCCACATCTTGGTCAACACTTGTTATTTTCTGTTTTTTTGATAGTAGCCGTGTTAATGGATGTGAGATGGTATCTCATTGTGGTTTCGATTGTCACTTCCATAATGATTACTGATTTGAGCATATTTTCATGTGCTTATTGGCCATTTGTAAATCTTCTTTGAAGAAATGTCTATTCAAGATCTTTACCCATATTTTAATAGAGATGTTTGGTTTTTGTTGTTGAATTGTAGGAGTTCTGTATATATTCTGGATTTTAAGCCCTCATCAGATATTTGATCTGCAAATATTTTCTCCCATCCCATGAGTTGCCTTTTCACTCTGTTGACTGTGTCCTTTGATGCACGGAAGTTTTAGTTTTGATTAAGTCCAATTTATCTACATTTTCTTTTGTTCCCTGGGCTTTTGGTGTCATATCCAAAAAATCAACACCAAATCCAATACAATGAAGCTTTTCCCTTACATTTTGTTCTAAAAGTTCAATAGTTTTAGCTTTACTCTTAGGTCTTTGATCCACTTTGAGATAATTTTTGTATATACTGTAAAGTAAGGGTTCAACTTCAGTCTTTTTATAGGTGGATATCCAGTATTTCCGAAACTGTTGAAAAGACTGTCTTTTCCCCTTTGAATTGTCTTGGTACCCTTGTCAAAAATCATTTTACCAACCACATGGTCATCTCAATAGATGCAGAGAAGGCATTTGACAAGATACAACATCAAAAACTCTTAATAAAATGAGTATAGAAGGAAAGTACCTCAACATAATAAAGGCTATTTATGACAAACCCACAGCCAACATCATACTCAATGGGGAAAGGCTGAAAGCCATTCCTCTGAGAACAGGTATGAGACAAGTCTGCCCACTCTCACCACTCTTATTCAACATAGTACTGGAGGTTTTGGCCAAAGCAATTAGGCAAGAAAAAGGAATCCAAATAGGCAATGAAGA